TTCCCTCCATTTCCCATTCAACCTCATTTTAAGAATATTACATCTTAAAATAAAACCTCAACACGTATTTGCGAAATCAAGATATTTTTATTTTCTTTTCTGATTTATTGGTTGTCTGTGAATTTCCAAAGCTCGTCTTTTTTTTTTTTTTTCATAGAAAGAGAGAAAAAATGTTCTAGCTTTTGTGATAGGAAAATTTTCAGAGATTTGTTGGTTTTTTGTCAAGTGTCAAATCGCAGCTTTCGTTTCATTGACACTTTTAAAATTTAGGAATTTTATATATTCTGTGATCACTAATTAAATTTCACTAAGAATTGAGAGATCTTTTGGTTTTGAATATGACATACCTTGAGAATAATTGATATGTTCATTTGGCTTGTTATATTTCTTGCCTATTTACTTGCTCAAACATATAACATATGTTCCTATGTACAATTTCATGCTCTCTTTTTCGCTTGTGTGTTGGCCAACATACTGTTTGAATTGCAAGTGCAATTTTTTTTCCTGACTTAATGTAGTATTCGAAATCCACTAACCCGACTATCTCTTTAGTGGAGCGGGACAATAAGAAATGCGTTACCCTCATAGTGTACAAGTGCAAAAATTCGATTTCATGTGGTCCTTCTATCTATGATTTTTTTTTTCTTTTCTGTTTATGACATTTTCAGGTACTCGAGAATGGGAGGTGGAAAGGATAAACATGCGCAGTATCCTCCCGGAGGACAGTATCCTCCTGGACAATATCCTCCAGGAGGACAGTATCCCCCCGGAGTACAATATCCTCCGGGACAGTATCCTCCAGCACCCGGAGCTTACCCTCCACAACCTGGGGCTTACCCTCCTCAACAAGGATATCTACCACAAGGTTATCCTACTGCACAAGGATATCCACCTGCGGGACATCCTCCACAAGGGTATCCGCCAGCAGGTTACCCCGGTCAACCTGCTCCACACCATACCGGTATCATTGCTTATTTACTTTGCATGTGTCTTGAGAAGTAAATATTCTAAACTATTTATGAACATCAGAGCAAAAATCGTTAAAATATTTATTGCTCCTATAACTTAAAATAAGTAGTTGCGTAGCACCTATAAAATAGGAGTTAGATAGAATATAAAATAACGATGTACAAATAAAAATCAATTGCAAGAAAAATGCAGAATAAAATAGATTGGGAAGTAAAAGTATGAAATTAAATATATCAAGATAGGACTAGTGCATTTGGTTGTTTTGCAAGATCTTTCCCCCTCCCTAGTCTTTCTCTATATCACTTTATCTAATGTTTAAAATGTTTAAAGTAAACTTACTCTTGAACCATGTTAGAGTCTTTTGTGCCAATGATCACTTCATTGAAAAGTTTAAACTGTTAGAGATCAGGTGATGCTTTTATTATTTAGTTATCATACCAGCAATAGTGAGAAGTATCATAAGCCAAAAATTTAATACTTCAGAAGACAAATTCTGCTAACTAAATCAGAAATGGGGATTGCATGTCAATAGTACTATATATTGAGATACTTGTTATATTCGGGACATCAGTGGCTGATGCAGATCGTCGGTAATGATTTCAGTCAAATCCAGTATTTTCAATGAGATTTATATGTGAAAACCTACTTAAATTACAATAGATATTAGATTTGAATCTATAATTTTAAAAGTACAATAACTTCAGTACTACAAATATTAAATGACGTCGAACCCATCAAGCTTAAATTCTGAATTCGCCTATGCAGGGCATGGAATGATGGCCGGAGTTGCAGCTGCCGGAGCTGCAGCCTATGGTGCTCATCACATGGGACACGGCGAAGGCCATTACCCTGCACCTGGTACTGCTCATTATGGACATTATGATCATGGAAAACATGGTAAGTTTAAGCATGGAAAGGCACAAGGGAAATACAAACATGGCAAATTTGGCAAGAATCATGGTGGCAAATTCAAGAAGTGGAAGTAAACTAACTAGTCATAGTACTTCAACTGACTTCATATTCTGCTCGCTTCTACTCTTTTCTACTTAAATAAGATGCAGTATAGGTCGTACTGGCCAATAGGCATTAGAAGTGATTTTTCTTTTAATTGTTGTTATATTTTTCATTTAAAGGGGTGTCTTGGCGCAACTATAATAGTTGTCCTAGTGTGACCCGAAGGTCAGTAGTAAAAATAACCTTTTGCAAAATACAACGAAAACTCAGTCCCGTCTTTTCCTTGAATCGCACGTAGCGGGAGTTTAGTACATTTGACTGTCTTCTTTTAATTTCCGAATTTTATTTTTTATTTTCAGCATAAATAGTTAATTTAAATTTTTTTCCTTTTGTTCCAATAAAAGTGAGCGACCATTTTTCTATAAAGAAAGTTTTACTAAGGAAGTGCCCTTAGCTTCTTTAATACTAACAAAATCAGATTACTGTAATATTAACTTGTTAGTGTAGCATTAGATTACTCTTTCCTTTTCTTTATGACTGAATAAACCCAAATTAAACTCAATACTTACATATCAAATCTGTTTATCATCTTATAAGGTGAGGAACCAACCTCATTTTCATTCTCATACTAAGTCTCTCAAAATGGCTTATTACCCTTACACCAAAACTCTACTATCTATAATTATTTTATTATTCAACCTTATGCAGATCACAAATGCTTTCAATTTAACTCCAAAAATTACCCTTCGTTTTATAAATGGTCTCCCTCAAAATACTCCTTTACTCAAAATTCATTGTCAATCTGGAGATAATGATCTTGGAGTTCGTACACTAAAAGTTGGTGACAAATTTGATTTCTCATTTCATATGAATTTTATTGGGACTACTCTTTACCATTGTAGCTTTTCTTGGGGGTTTAAAGTTTAATGATTTTGATGTTTTTAGACCACATAAGAGCTATTGTGGAGGTAAGATTTTCAAGAATATCTATTACACTTGGTTGATGAAAAATTCTGGTATTTATTTGGCTCTTGGTCCTAATCCTTCACCTAATGACTTCAAATTTCTCTATCCGTGGTTGTAAAAAAAAATGGGATGTATTACATTTCTTTGTTAACTTGGAAATATAATGTCTTAATATATGAGAAGTACTTTATAGTATATAGTTAGATCTTTTTATAATAGTCATCCTCTATAACACCACTTTGCTATAACGGTCAAGTTTTCTTTGGAACCACCTTTTCATGTTATGTTATAATATATGTTCTCTATAACAATACTTCACTATAGTTGCCGAAATTTTTCGGAACAAACGATGCTGTTATAGAGAAGTCTGACTGTAATATATAGTCAGACCTCTCTATAACAGATATCCTCTATAACAACACTTCGCTATAACGCAAGTTTTTTTAAAAATCAAAATTTTATGTTATGTTATAATATATGTTTTCTATAACAATACTTACCAAAAAAGTGATACAAATTTTAATTGATAAAATTATGTGATTATAATAAACCTTTTAGCTTGATATGCAAGTGTCAAATGCTTAATGACTTAAACTCTTCTACAGTATATAGTTCAATCTCGGTCAATTATCTGTAGATTGTGAATATCTAGGTGTTAAATTGAGATTAGATTAGCATCTTTGACGGATATGTAATTGAAACTTCAGTTTGGCATTAGCAAAGTGAATTGTCCAGATTTCATTGTTTGAAAGTAGGGTTACAATTTTTTGGTTTTTATAGTATGTGAAAATACTTTTAGTGGTCGATAAACTATTCATAGTCCCAACAACTGGGCCTTCTTGTCCTTTCAAAATATCATTTTGTTTTTGGAGAATTGTAGTGTTCGGCCAAAAAAATGTACATTTGAGCAACCGTAGAAGTGATTTTTTTTTATTGTGGAGAAAAAGTTATTTTTTTTTACTTTTTTCAAAAAGCTAAAAGCACTTGTGAAATGAATTAACTAAACACAAACTTTTACTCTTTAAAAGTATTTCTCTAAAGCTATTTAGCAAATACGTTTCTCAAAATAAACAGTTTTTAAAGTAGGCCAAACCGGCCTCATAATTGGTACTAGTATTTTGTTTCAAACCATAGTGAGGTTTTTAAGGCCAATGCTACATTTTTATCTACCTAGCAAATGTGATCCATTTTTCCACCAATGTGTTATTTCATACCTAAATAGAGATAAAGAAACTAAGTCCCTGGCCCTCCATAAATATTTGTTGCAAATAAACTCTTGTATATAAAAATGACAATCCTAATTCAAAATTCATCCACATTTATAACTTAAATACACCACAGAATAAGCTTCCGTTTGGCCATAAAATTTAAAAGTTTTTTTGTCAAATTTTGTTTTCAAGTATCTGTTTGTTTACAGATTTCAACCATTTTTTGGCAGATTTTAAAAATAAAATCTTCAAACCCCAAAAACAACTCTAGAATAGTTTTTGAAGTTTTCTACTCACAAAATTTCAAACCCTTTTCAAGTAAAATGCATGTCCAAACACAATTTCAACTTTCAAAAATCATTTTTCATCTCATTTTCAAAAACTCATTTTTTTAAGTTTTAACCAAATGTATGTCCAAACGCTAACTAAGTGTTCATTTCACAGTGTTCTCATTCCCCGTCTCTTTATATTATAATAAAGAAATTAAATGTTGGAAAATAATATCGGATCGCGTCCACCCGTAAGAGTTCTAGATAGCCCAAGTAGAAACTCGGAGAGATAGACTGCGAGGGGACTCTTTCATATCTGCTAATAAACCCATTCATTAATCTCCACCTGAAGTGTAATGTTAAATATATAAACACAATTATGGATGTTAAAAAAGATACCTTTCCATTATACAATAAGGTTTATGAAAAAAACTCTTGGCTCTCTGAGGGCATATTTAGCCTATTGAAACCAAGGGATTCTTTCCCTTTATAATAATTCCTATTGATCGGTAACTCAAGCCGCAGTTATTGCAGATGTGCTTCTACATAGTGAAATTCGTAAATCTCCTGTTTTATTTTTAATTTTCAAGTAAGAAATGTAAATCTAAACCGGAGTCAATTGTAACACCTCTTCATTCTTCGTCCCAGGGAGTTAAATTACCCAATGACTTTGAAGAAGGGAATTTTACCTATCTATACTATATATGAAACTTTTTTACCTTTCCTAATCAAGTTTTAACTTAATTACATGGGCATATACAATTTACCAATTATATACAAATTAGTATCAATGAGCATACCTTTATATTAGAAATTAAATAGGGAATCGGTATTTCCCCATCCCTGCTCTCTCTCTCTCTCTCTCTCTCTCTCTCCCCATCTCTCTCTGTTTTTTTTTTCAATTTTAACTTAGTAATTTCCTTTCATATTGCACAATTAGTGTTCGAATTGAAATTGTCAATCAATAGATTTTGAAAGTGTTTGATTCTCCACCATTGACATCCATTAAAAAGTTTCAAAGCTCTGAATTTGAATTTGGGTTTTCAAAAACCACCGTTTGTTTGGATTGAGTGTTATTGCAAACAATTGAGAATATTCATTGGAATTTATATTATGTTGATATGTATCAAATTTGTATTGAGAGAAAAAGTTTTCGTTGAACTGAAAAACTTGAATATTGATGGGAACTAAATAATTTGGATGGAGAAATTTCGAGTTCCACATTAAAAGCATTATCGTCGAGTTTCTATTCCTGGTGTTGCTAGTGCTACATCAACGGAGGTGGAGGCGTTGAAAATTTAAATGCGAAGATTTATATTCCAATAGGTAGCACTCAAAAGATTACAAAATTTTATTATTGACTCAATTCTGTCAGTTGGGGAGTAATAAGAAGATTTATATGGTCGATAGTAGATGTTGCCTTCTGAAATTCATGTGGCATATTGATATGCTCCTTGTTGTGGGTTGATAAGTCTTCTTTTTTGATGCATGTTGTATTTTTTTGCATATAAGGTGCCTATAAGAAAAGACTAACTAATAAAGCATTGTTTACCCTAAAAATCGGATAACAATTGAATTTGTACGTGATTTTAAGGATACGTGATATAATTTGATACAGAGTGATAAATCAGATCGATTATGAAAATAAAAGATAAAAAAGTAAACGCAAACTACGCAAGTTTGAGCAATCCTAGCCTTGTGAGATTAATCTCCCCCGAGCTAGCACTACTAAAAATTCGGGCAAAACTGTCCAAAAAAACGACCAAAGTGGGTCGGTAATGGCCAATAACCGTCCAAAACGTGGCCATTTACGTGTGGATGGTATTTTGAAGGTCGGAAGGGCATACCGACCAAAGTTGGCCAGTAATTGGTCGGTCAATTAAATTCTAAAAAAAAAAAATGCCGAAAAAACCAACCAAAGTTGGTCCGTATTTTAATTATATAATTAAAAAATGCACCATCTGGGATCGAGCCGGGGTCTGTACTGTGGCAAGATACTATTCTACCACTAGACCATTAGTGCATTTTGTTTTATTGACTGTCTTTTATTTCATTTATACTCTTTAATTATATTTTCGCACGAAAATAACCGACCAAAGTTGGTCGGTTTTATTAAAAAATAAAATTACCTACCGACTGCGGTCGGTTTTTTAAAATGACCGGCCGAATTAACCGACCGATTTTGGTTGGTTTTTTAATATTAATTTTAATTTATTTTAAATAAAAAACCGACCAAAATTGGTCGGTTTCTTGAAAAATAAATTTTGCGAGACTCAAAAATTTTTTCGCATTTTTGCGCCAAAGAAAACCGACCAAAGTTGGTCGGTTTCGTAAAAAAAAATTAAAAAATAAAATATTATGAAAAACCGACCAACTTTGATCGATTTTTTGGCCAGTTTTTTGACCGACCAAAATTGGTCGGTCAAACGTGGTCGGTTTTTGCGAATTTCTAGTAGTGTAGAAATAATATAATTGATAATATTATTGATGTTGCCGTGCAATGAACTATGACAAAGATAGAAATAACAATATATAGCCTTTTGATATGAGTTACCATGTGTTTTACGAATTGTCAAGTCCCCCTTATAT